CCCCAACCCCCCATCCAAACAGCAGCCCCCAAACCCCCATCAAAACAGCAGCCCCCAAACCCCATCAAAACACCAGCCCCGCCACGGCCGGGGAGGGACGCACTTCTCACCTCCCTGGCTCCATTTACGTAACCGAAACCGCAGAATAAAGGGCTCCTCAGATCCTCGGGCGCTGCTCCCAGGGGTGCGGGAAGGTGTCCCGGCAGCGCCTCTCCATCGCCACAGGCCCGCGGGCGGTAGCCAAGGCCCGGAGAAGCCCGAGGCGCTGCGGGGGACGGTCTGACACCCCCACCTGCCGGGACGCGGTGGTGTCAGGACCCCGAGACGGCTCATTCTGGGCCGTTTCTATGGCCCGGGATCTCTGAAAACCTGCTGCGGGCTGTGGCTTCATTCCAGCCCTCCACGCCCTAATTTCCCACGCCTCACATTGGCGGCGGCCCCCTAGGCCTGGGAATAGGGAACGGTTCGAGTCCCGGGCTGGGGAGGGCCTGGAGGGAAAGGCTGCAGGGGCGTCCCCGGCAGCGAAGAAAGGCCAAAGCGCCAGGCGCAGGGCCCGGAGACGGTGACAGACCTGTCCCTGGCGCGGCGGACGGTGACCCCCGCCCGTGGCCTTTGCGAAACCTCCCTGCCGCCTCCGGGCACCGAGCGCGCAGCGCCGAACTCCGGGCATCCTAATCCGGGGGCGCCGGGACGCGCGAGACGGCCCGGGAAGGGGGCTCGGGTGAGCGCGGGGGGCTGGGGCTGCGGCGCAGGTGGCTGCTGGGGCTGACGGGCCCGGTCTGCGTCCCCTGGTGCCCCCCGAAACGCGCCCACAGGACCGAGCCCCGCGCCTGCTTACCTTGGAGACGCAGCGATTGCAGCGGCGGCGCCTCCGCGACTCGGCCGCGCGCGACCTGGTGCTCAGCGGAGCGCTCCCGCCGCGGCCCCGCGCCAGCCGGTCCCGCCCAGCCCCGCCCCGCCCCGGGCCCGCCCCCGGCCCCCAGGGTCCCGTGCCCGCCCCAAGCCCCGCCCCGTGCGCTCATTGGCAGCCCCGCCCCCGCCGCCCCACCCGGCTCGGGGAACGCGCGGGGCGCACTGTGGCCTCTGCCTTACAAGGCCGGCTCCGCGCAGGCCCCGCCGGCCACCGGGTATCCGCTCAGCGCAGGGCGCGGTCGACCCTCGGGCCGTGGGAACCGCTGGGCAGGGTGCGGCGGGGCCCCTCACCTGGTTCTGGGCCCCCCGGGGACGACCGGACCCCGATCTCTGCACCCCGCAGGACGCCCGTGGACGGTGCGGTGGGGGATGGATGAGCGCGGACGCGGCCTCCTGGGGTGGGGTGGGTTGGCGGCGAGGGGCGCGAGGTCAGTGCTGGGCGACCCCCGACCGCGTCCAGTTCTTTAAAGAGCTGCAGACGGTGCAGGGAAGCGGCAGGGCCGGGCTGTGAAGGTGCTCGGACCCCAAGGCGGGGCGCAGGCCGGGGACTGGGCGCCCAGGTGGGGGCACCGCGGCCGGGGGTCGGCCTGAGCAGGGAGCCAGGTCCGTGCCGGGCGCGGAGCGCAGCTGCCTGGGACTGGGCCACCCTTCCCGCAGAAGCGGAGAGCAGAGCGCGCACCTGTGCCCTCGGCCTCAGCCTCCGCTCTCCCTGCAGGGCGCCCGTGTGCAGCGCCACCATCCCGGCAGCTCTTCTAATCTCGCCTTTCTCGGGGCACCTGCGGCCCCGCGCCCCTAGACAGGCTTTGCGGAGGGGGCTCATTCTGCCCGGGGCTGACCGGCCCTCCGCAGGAGTTGGCTCCGCACAATGTTCTGGGCCAAGCTGACAGGGCGATTCTGTGGTGCTGGGTGCTGGGACTTGAGGGGCACAGGGGCCCCTGCCTTGAGGAGGCCGAGGCACAGTCCCCCAGGAGGAAGGGGTGCCTCTGGTGACTTCCAGCTCGACTGTGTCTGGTGCAGCTGAGGTCCTACCCCAGCCCTGACTCTGTCCCTGCACCAGGTGTCCAGCAGGCCCTGGAGCCTGCAAAGGCAGCAGGGGAAGTTGGGGTGCTGGGCAGGGGGTGCTGAGGCCTCAGAGCCCGGCGGCTTGGCCCCCACCCACCCAACGGTGGTCTCGGGCCCCACACTTCCTCTCCTCTCCTGTGGTTTCTCCTTCCACTCAGAACTGACCAGAGATGGGCTTCTGTGTAATTCTTCTGAGAAATTCCGCACTCAGAGCAGGGAAGTTGGGAGACCCCCAAAGCTGGGCGGCGGCCAGGCTGCGGCTCCTGCTTCCCTCCTGCTCGGTGCGGGCTTGACTGCCTTCTCGTCCCGCAGAGCCCGGGGCGCCTCCCCCTCGGGCATTTCCTATTAACAGCATCAATGAAATAATGAAATGATGTCTCCTTGGTGTGTTCTTACTGTCCTATTAGGCACAAGGTGACTCTTCAGTGCATTTTTCGAAACCTGTACAAACTCTCTTGACATAAATGCAGTGATTTTACAATAAAATTGCAGTGGGAGGTAAAGTCAGGCTTCAGAGACAGACACGGTCCTGGAGCCTTTGTGAGGAAAGGCAGGGGGCGCGGGGCGGCGTCCAGGGGGCTGACCGAGGTCTCAGCAGGAGGATAGAACTGAGCCTTGGGCTGCCCTGACCCCTGCACAGCACACACAGTGCCCGGGGCTGGGGTGGGCACCTGGTTCTACCGTCGGGAGTCGGCGTGTTCGTGGAGTCTATTTCCTTGTCTGCGGGTGAAATTTTGGTTTGGGGTCACGGGTGTTATTTCCCAGCGGCAGTGGGTTCAGTCAGCACTTACAAAATCACCGGAAACGGGCACAGGATCGTGCTCAGTCGGGAGAGGTGGATCCTGATTCGGGACTCCAGGCTCTTCACCTGGCCATGGCTGCCTGTCCAGTGGCCTTTCCTGACCCCCAGCTCTGGCTACACCGCCAGACCTGGATGGTCTCCATTTACCCTGCAATTACTGAAAACTGACGCACAGCCAATGATGTGATCCACGCACAGTGTCCGGTTTTAAGATGTTTCCTGGGCTCCTGAGAAAATCACTACAAATGGGTTGAACAACAGGGGTTCCCTCGTATGCCTTAGGAGGCCAGAAGTCCGACATCAAGGCCTGTGCGCTCAGGAGGTTCCCACCTCTTCCAGCTTCTGTGGCTCCAGGCGGTCCTGGGCGGTGGCCGCATGGCTCCACCTCTGCCCCTGTCCTCACGGGGCCTCCTTCCCAGAGTTTGTGTCTGTCTCCTCCTTTGCTTATCAGGACACCTGTCACTGGATTTAAGGGCCACCAGGATAAGCCGGGATCATCTCAAAATCTTTAACGGAATTACATCTACAAAGATCCTATTTTAAAGGTCTTACACTCAGGTTCTGGGTCGATGTGAATTTTTTGGGTGGGGGGCACTACCCCCCCAGCACCAAAGCTTTTCCCAGCCCCACCAGTGGCGCGGCACCAGTGACCAGCAGCGTTCACCGAGGCGCCTGCCTGCGGCTGTTTCCACGGCTTTCTGCACAGGTTCTGTGTCCGCAGCTGGGAGCACCAGGCCAGGCAGCTGTCACATAGCAGGAGGCCGGCTCTCAGGGACAAGCCCCTGCTGCCCAGCACCCTCGCCCACCCTGCCTGGGTTTGGCGTTGGGTTTTGTGGGCAGAGGTTCAGGCTGACAGTGGAGGTTGGGCAGGGCAGACAGCATGTTAGGTAGCACTGGAAGCCCTGGACGGAAGCGATGGCGGGAGACACTGGACCATCCGGGTCTGCAGTGGGAGACCAGGACAGGAGCCCAGGTCCGTTGGGAGGCCCCATGCTGAAGTTGGAGGCACAGGGAGTGGGGGGAGGAATGGACTCCTGGGGACAGACAGCAGCAGACATGCAAAGGCCTCCGACGCCAAGTATGGGGATGCTGGGTCCCAGCAGCTGAGGTGGGGCCGCTCCCACCAGGCCTGCAGGTGGACCTGTCAGGCGTCCACCCACCCCTGGCAGCTGAATGTCCTTGGATGGCCTATGGGCTGAGCAGCTTCTTTGGGCCCCGTGGGGGTGTGGCCCACAGCAGGTGAGTAGTCACGGCCCCTTGAGAACCCTAAGCAGCTCCTGTGTGGCCCACAGCAGGTGAGTAGTCACGGCCCCTTGAGAACCCTAAGCAGCTCCTGTGTGGGTCCTGGGCTGGGGACAAGCTACAGCCTGGGTGCATGGGGCCTGAGGGGGTGGTCAGTGTGACGCCTGTTGCTGAAGGAACGACGTGCCTGCCTGGGTGTGGGGCCTGGGAAGGCTGATGGGGGTGTTGAAGCCGCTCCCACGGGTCCTTGGCAGCTTAGGTAAAATGTCTGTGGGGATGTGGGTGTGCACGTGTGTGCACATGCATGCGTGTTTGTGTATTCCTGTGTGTGAATATGCACCTGTATGTGTGAGTATGCATGCTGGTGTATGTATGTTGGTATGTGCTCAGCTGCGTTATGTTCAGCTGTGTGTGTATTTGTGTGTCTCTGTGTGTTTGCACGAGTGTGTGTCTGCGTGTGCTTGTGTCTCTGTATGTGTGCATGTGTTTGCACCTGTATGTCCACCTGCCTGTGTGCTTGTGTGTGGATGTGTTCATGTGCCCATGTCTGTGTGTTTGCGTGTGTGTGCACGTGC